CTGTTTTTTAAAAATAAAATCAAAAATACTAAAGAACTTCGGGTCATCAATCTAACGGTTCTTTCCTATTTTATCTCTATATTTGCACACACACACAGACACACGCACACACACACACACACACACATACATGCTGTTTTATTTTTCAACTACTACAAATATTAAATTACATTCTATGGAATATTCAGAAACGCTTGAAGAGATCACTTTAACGTTTTCACTATAGGAATGCATTGCGAACGTTTTTACTATAGGAATGCATTGCAAACGTTTTCACTATAGGAATGCATTGCGAACGTTTTCACTATAGGAATGCATTGCGAACGTTTTTACTATAGGAATGCATTGTGAACGTTTTTACTATAGGAATGCATTGCGAACGTTTTTACTATAGGAATGCATTGTGAACGTTTTTACTATAGGAATGCATTGTGAACGTTTTTGCTATAGACATACATACAAAAATTAGGTTAAAATGGATTTATACTTTATATGTTTTCTAGAATTTTTTTCCCAATTCATCTCAAGCAAGACGGTAATGCCACCAAGATCCAAAAGGGCGACTGGCAGTGAAAAAGAATGAAAAACCATCAAGATGTTTGCCCTCAACTTCACAGCCTGAAATATTGAATGAACATGAAATAAATTTATTGACGATAAAATCCAAAAGGAAGTCGATTGTCGAAATTACATGACGTCATTTCAATTTCCACCAATAAAGATAACTATAAAATCAACATGAAAAATAACAATGAAAATAAATCTAAAAAACTCTACTTCGTTCATCATTTGCGTTACACGAAATAAATAAATAATTTTTTTAAAGTCAATTCACCCCAAGTAAGGCAATCATGACACTAAGAAGCAAGACGCTACAGGGAGTGAAAAAGAAGATTTTAGAAGGAACCGGAAACCCAAGCCTAAACAGCAAACAAGTGATAAACGTCTACTTGTGTTCAAAAGATCGGGGAGGAGTGTGAACCTAACAATAAGTGAATCTATCTACTCCTATTAAAAGCTGTTATATTTATAACGCAACTGCACAGTTTTACGATAGAAAAGGGGTATTCTCAATGTTCAGGTACTAATGCAGACGTGACTGACATATGTCTAATATAGTTATAATATAAATGTGTTTATTTTCGAAAATACTGCAAGTAATTTTCATAGATAACTCTCTAGTAAAGACCAAATGAAGTCGATAAAAATATTAAACTTTAAGCGGCAGACAAAAATGCACAAAAAAGGTACGCGAAAATAAACAAAATATTTAAAAATTAAACATATTTTTTTTGTTTTTTTTTTAATTAAAACCTGAGGAATTGTATTTCTCCTCTGACGTCCTCATATTGACCTCTGGGGTCAGATACAGGAAAACAAAGTAAGTCGTTTTGATTGGCTAAAACTAGCATGGGAATGTTAGAGATAGAAAGGTACTTCAGTGAGTTAAGTTTTACACGTCGAAGAATGAAGACGTGTTATATCGTGACTTAAAACTGTTTTCTCTTCAGTGGGGTGGGATAGCAACCCCACAGTTTAGGTAGATGTACCCGTCGACATGGTTAATAAACTAGTAAGATTTAAAATTCCCTTTATTGATGACTCTTTTATCTCCGAACAATGCAACTGGCGATCAGCGGCCAAGAAAGAAGGCAACATTATGAATGAATCAAGAACGTTGCCCCAAGACTACCCCCAGCACGAAGGGGCTGTACAACAATATGTCAAAGTTGCTTTTGTGTAAACCTATATGAAACAAGTGCACGTCCTTCTGCATTTGTATTGATGTGTCTGATAACATTCTGAGCATAAATATTGCCTTCCTTGTTCCAGTGTTTTTGATGAACCTGCACTGTTCCTGTTCCTATTTCCGGTCTGATTCTGCTGTGCGCTCTATTCATCAGAATTCAGATAATCAGTTTCATTATATAGCTCATTAGGCTGATTTTTCTATGGAGTTCCCATTCGTTTGCACCTGGCTTCTTAAGCAGTGCTATGAAAATAGATCTACTTAGGTCTTTCGTTATATCGCCACTGTTGTAGATTTCATTTAATATTTCTGTAATTTTATCTATGCCCAAATCAATTAAGGCTGCCAGCATCTCTATTACAATTCTGTCTGGCCCTACCACTTTGTTTCTGTTCAATTTAGGTAGTACAAATTCCACTTCAGATTTCCAGTAGGAAATATTCTACGCTACAGAAGTTGGAATGGATAACGCAAATAATGGAGAAAGAAAAATTGGTGGTGGAGGAGGTGGGTTTTTTTTTTGTTTTTTTTTTTTTTTGGGTGGGGGGTTAGCTGGTTTAGTTTTATTTCTTTTTGTTGTGATTTCCATGAGATATGTTTTGAGGAAAGAGTTAAAAGACCACTATAATTGTCACTATCTGTCGTCAATGGCAATGCAAAAAAGCCAGTGTGTGTCTGAGAGCAGAGCATAATGTGGCCTTCGTGTGCAGGTGGTTTGCTGACAGGTTCTTGATTATTCTAATATCTTTCCAAAAGGTTGATGAGTAGTTCCAATAGATCTTTATGGCATACTTTATTGAGTGCCTTTGAATAATCTATAAAATACAGGTGCACATCCTTCTGCATTTGTATTGCTGTCTGATAACAATCTGTATACATTGTATAATTTTTCTTTAGTATCACTATGCTTAAAATGCTCTACCATTCACTATAGAGCATTAACTGCAACTTGTTTTCAGGACCTTAAAGATCATAAAATATACTTGGAAAAGCGTTCTGCTTATCGTTCTCCATTTATTGGTATTTTTTTACCATTTATATTGTATTATAAAAAATAAAATAAGTAATTAATTTACGAAGGTGGCTCAAAATTTTTGCACAACAGTGTAGACTCAAATATCAAAGGCAAATATTTAGGTATTTACTCAAAATTAAAAAAAACTAGTAGTGACTTATCCCGGAACAAAATAAATGCGTATAGAACAAAATATAATAATTATCTATTTTTGAACCAATTAAATGCTTATAGACTCATATAAATAAACAATATTGACCGATTTCCAAATCAAGTAAATGCTTCCAAACTCAAACATAAACTGACATTTACTTATCCACAAACCTGCTTAATGTTTACAGACTAAAAAATAAACGACCAATATTTATCCATCCCCGAACCAAGTAAATTGCTTGTTGTCTCAACTATAAAAAGCTAATATGTATCTATTCTGGAACCATTTCAACGCTTATAGACTCAATATTTCAACGCTTAAAAACTAATATTTATCCGTTTGTAAACCAATTCATTGCTTATACAGGGTGCAACAGATATAGCCTATATCTACCAGAAATATCTCCCATACAATGTTAAGACATGAACTTGATGAAGACACCATTGCCAATAATGTCTTACCATTATGTGGTAGGGTTTATTCGGTCGCACCCTATAGAATAAAATATAATTTTAAAAGTCATTTCCATAGTAAATAATCCAGCATCTGTGGTAAAATCAGCCAACCCGACCCAAATAATCGGTTATTCGAGAAACATTTTTCATTCTACTTTTTTCAATGTTTTTGAACGAAGAAATAAATCAATATTTTATTGTCAGCGCATTTTGCACCACTTCTGTGATCTCAAATCCACTTCATGTCCCAATTGTGGTTTATGAGGGACATTCAACTCAGAATAGTACAATGGCTTGCCGGTTCCTTTTACACCGGGGAAGTTAAGGTTACCCCGTTCCTCCTCTCAAAGGTGAATTTGTTTTTGAAGTTACCTTCTTCTAGCCTTAGCCTAAAGAGGCAGGGCCTACAAGGCAACAGGTGGTTTAATATTCAGAGTTTCTTTCTCCTAGACTGGTTGCCACTCAATGCTATAGGACGCATTCTGACCTGATATTTTACTCATAGCTGGGGGTGAAGAGAAGAGACGGATTCATACCTTTCATAAGGGTATTAGCCCCTAAGTGAATGTAACGGACCCGGCTCTCTATTTCCTTAATCTGAGCCACCGACCATTAACCCACCACGTCTACTACGAGAAATAAATAAGGAGCTAGAAAGATATGTAAACAATGCTTGACTCTTCCTTGATAGGAAAAATTCCACCGCTGAAGAGCCCAAACCACACGGACCCATTTGCAGTTTCTTCACTATCTACAATTCGTTCATTATATCTGCTTCTCCGCCTCGTTTATGATACCACGCTATTTCAAGTAGACAAGAAAATTTTCATGAGTATTCGGAGGTAGGGGTGAGCTTTAATTTGTCCCACCTCGGGTTGGCTCTAATTCAGGAAGTGGGTGGGTTCAAACTGTGCCTTGATATTGAATAGATTCACTTAATTGGGTCCGTATGGTACCCCCACTACATAACCCGAACAAAACAAAACAAAAAGCTGCTGGCGTGCTGACAAACCTAATAATATCGCAAGCGGAGGAAAAATGTTTGAACGGCAGTGATTCCGTTTTTTTGTTTTTTGTTTTTTTTTTGTTTTTGTTTCTTTTGTTTTTTTTAACAGGAATTGCTTCTTTAGGAAGAGAACTCTTAAGAGATCGAGAACCGTCACGGAATGGAAAAAATAAGATTAATATGAACATTTGTAAGCATTCAATTTGGTTGTGTGCACGTGTTGATGGACTGTTCGTAATCGATAGATAAGCACTGAAAGAAATACAAAGAGAATCTATGGAAAGTATTAGAGAAAACGACTGAGAGATAGCGTGAGAGAAGAAAGAAAGAAAGAAAGAAAGAAAGGAAGGAAGGAAGGAAGAAGTATTCCATTTTTAGAAAAAGACCAGTAAAGAGAGAAAGAAAGAGAGAGAGAGAGAGAGAGAGAGAGGGGGAGTATTTTGAAGTATTTCATTCATATATATATATATATATATATATATATATATATATGTGTGTGTATGTATGTGTGTATGTGTGTATGTATGTATAAGAATTAATATAAGTAAAACGTTAGTCACTTAGGTTCCCGACTCAAGAGTTTCGTAGACGAACCTTCTGGGAGTCACTCCGCCCACTCTTCAGAGATAGATAGATAGATAGATAGATAGATAGATAGATAGATAGATAAGAAGAGACTGAGATAGCTGAATAGCTATATATAGAGAGAAAGTAGAATATATAGAGAATATATAGAGAAAGCGAGATATAGACAGATTGTTAACGAACAAGATAGATAGATAAATAGATAGAAAGAGAGAGAGAGAGAGACAGCGAGAGAGAGATGAAGAGCAAGAGGAAATTTTTTTTATGTATCTATAAAAAGAACGTTAAATATAAAAATGTATATAATATATATATATATATATATATATATATATATATATATATATATATATATATATATTCCAACACCAGGTAAGATGTTGAATATTATGTTTGAAGTTGTAAATAAACTGTCCAAAGTTCAGCAAAATACTCTATAGTACGAGTTTCAAGGAAAGACTAAATACTCTAGAAGTTATTATTATTATTATGTAAAATAAAGAGCCCACATTAAAAATATATCCTTCACCACAGGGGATGGTATCTTCAAGTGCATATAATATAATTGATATGCGCACATATTATATTAGTATTAAGAATTAGCAAATAAAATCATTAATTGATAAAATGAAATAAATTGCATTATTTTTGTTCTGCCTCGTTCCCAATGACAGTTACACATGACATTATAGTTAAATTCCCAGATGAATTCTGTGGAAAAAAATCACACTTTTTGCCGATGCGTTTCGTCTTCCGACTTTTTCAAATGCAAAAATGAAATCGAAATATTTTTTGTTGTTATAGTTACATTAAAAAATTATTTATAAAAAGATAGACCTTTATTATTAAAAAGTTTTTTACATTAATGAAAATTAGGCTTATAGTAAGGGATTATTATTATTTTAAATTTGGATTTTTAATGTAACTATAAAGCGTCAAAAAATTGGTTTCTGATTTCATTTTTGCCTTGAAAAGTCGGAAGACGAAACGCGTCGGCAAAAATGTAAGATTTTTTTTCCAATTGTCATTTGATGCCACATGACATTATGTTGAATCATTTCTAATGTTCAATGTCCGAACGAATACCAAGAAACAGAAAAAGGAGCGAAAACTACCAGATGACCACGACTGCATTTCTTGATAATGGCTGGAAAGTCGAAAGTACTTGAAGAAAAATAGGGAAAAAAAATCGCGTTTCATCCTCTGATGGACTCTATCAAGTCAAATGTAAGGATTTTATTTTGCAACAAGTATTTATACACAGATGTAAAAATGGCGTCAGTTTTAGAATTTTTAAATTTAAGAAGGCTCATAAACATTCGTCAGGCTAACTGAAAATCAAAGTAAATTATGGAAGATGATAAGTGATGTAATTCAATATTTAATAAACGAAAGCGGGTAAATGTTATCATTGTTGTTGTTGATTTTTTTATAAAGTAAAAGCTGTGCCCCGGTGTTTTTTTTTTTGTTTTTTTGTTTTTTCTTTCTTTTTAAATCTCCTTTCTTAAAAGAAATACTTCTTTCCCAAGCCAACATGCAGGACTACATATTTTTTTTAATTCAAATAAAGCGGTTAAATTCTAAACCTCGTTTAATTTAAAATATATTAATTTTCGTTTCATTTCATTTTTGGAAGTGCTATCTGATGATCCGGCGCCCTTTAAAAGGGCTCTGGTGAAATAAATTATTATAATGGTACCTTAAAGTGGTCTGTTTTTCTTTTAAATATTAGCTCTGGATTTACATTGAGCTCTCAGGATTTCATCCTCCTCTCCTTGGGATTACCCATACGGATTACCAAGTTCTTCATAACTTATATATATATATATATATATATATATATATATATATAAAACAAATTAAGATAGTATTAATAATAATTACATTATTAAAAAAATGTCAACAATATTTACTCACATTCGTTTATTAGACATTAAATTACATCACTTAGAATCTTCCATAATTTATTTTCATTTTCAGTTAGCCTGATGAATATTTATGAGTGTTCTTAAATTTTAAAATTTTAAAACTTTCCACAATAGGCAACAGAAATGTGGTTCTACAGAATAATTCTAAGACTCCTATGTGTTGAACATGTGAGTAATGAGTAAAATTTAAGGAAAATGGAAACAAAAATAATACTTTTACTTAGAACCAAAAAGATACAATATAAATTTCTAGGAAAGAATGCTTGGAGAATATGACATTCACAAGGCATATTGAAGGCAAGATGGACAGAAGAAAGAAACAAATAACAGATACCGTATGTTTTTTATATATATATATACGCAATAATGGCCTCTCAAATTTCCAGGAATCGGTTCTATAAAGGCAGAAACTCTTTAGGAATCTATTCCGCTTATTTTCTTTTCAATCTGAGAATGAAAACAAATCACTTTATTATATCAAAAAGAATTAAAACATTTTGATAATTTAATAGAAAACATTTATTTATTAAGATATTTCCATATTGAAATTCTGTTTTCATTATATTTCTGTTCAGGAGTATAATGCTTTTTGACTCTAGTGTCATCAGCTGTCACATGGTTTCTTAGCCACATTTGAAATGAATCGCTGCAGTCCGAAAGATCCAATGGAAGATCTATCAAATTTATGATGAGATTTGTCACATTTTTAACTTCAAGACAATTTCTTTTGTCCTCACAGAAAAGCCTCTTTTAGCCTCTGCAGAACTTACAGCAATGGTCTTATATTTTTAGCTATTGCATATCGGCTATTAATATATAAGATTATTTTCGGATAATGGAACAACCAGTTCGCTAAGCTTTTATAATTTTAAGAATCGGTTCGCGCAAACCGATACGAACCGATAAAATGCCACCACTGGATTTACGTATATAGAGAAAACAAAGTAAGGTATACATTACCCCTTTGGAAGAAACAAACAGATAGAAACACAAGTCATCATGCAATTTCTTAGTGGCTTTATTTCCTTGCTTGGGTGACATGATTAAAAAAAATTCAGTTATATCGGCGTTGACTCGCACAGATTAGTTTGAAATAAAAGATATTCGCTAACAAATACATCTTGTGATCATGGTGGCAAGCCTACAGCTCGCACAAGAAGACTACCAGGCAGATAGAGAGAGAGGGAGAGGCAGACAGAGAGAAGGAGAGGGGGAGAGAGAGAGAGAGACTGAATAGACGGAAGTACTCGGAGAAAAGCCGACTTTACAGCTTTGTTAGCCTTGGAAGATTTGGATAACACAAGACGATCGCGCACGTCTACACAGCTTTCCAAGTGCGCAGGCGCACAAATTAGATCTCCTGTCGAAGGCAAACTAGATGGATGGGAGCCCATACTTGCTGAAACAAAATAAAGCGAATCAAAGTCAAGCGCAAAGGCGTACACTGAAATACATCTACGCAGATATAAATACGCATAAAAGAGAATTAAAGAGGAACGATAAAGGGTGTGAGAAAAAAAAGAAGAGAAAGAAATATAAATATACAGATAGAAGAAGAGTGAGAAAAAGAAAAAGAAAGAGGAAAAGAAAGGGGAAAAGAAAAAAAAAGGAGAGAAAAAAGAGTAAATAAAGAAATATATACAGGTAGAAAAAGAAAGAGAAATAAAAGGAAAAAGACAAAGGGCGAGGAAAGAAGAAAAAAGAAAAGAAATATAAATAGAAGAGTTTTAAAAAAGCGAAACCAAAGGAAAAAGAATGAAGACCTAGAAAAGAAGGAAAAAGTAAAGAAATATATAATAGGTAAGAAGAAGTGTGAGGAAAAAAGAAAGAAATAAAAAAAGAGCAAGAAAAGAAGAAAAAATGGAAAGAATATATATACAGATTGTAAAAGAGCCAGAAATGAAAATAGATAGATAGATAGATAGATAGATAGATAGATAGATAGATAGATAGATAGATAGATGGATGGGAAAAAAGAGAAACAGAGGCGAAAAGTTAAAAGAGCCAGAGAAGAAGAGAGAAATATATCCAAATAGAAGAAAAATAAAAAGAGAGGGGAAAGAAAAGAGACAAAGTGGGCGAACGAGGTAGAGGGAAAATAGGCAAAAGCAGAGAGAAGAGAAAGTAAATGAAATAAGGATGACAGAAAGAAAAAGAAGGACAGAGAGAGAGAGAGAGAAAGAGAGAGAGAGACATAAGGAGAAAGAAGAGGAGGAAATGATAAAAAGGAAGAGAGGGTTGATAGAGAAAAAGAGATGTAAAAATGGAGAAGCGATAGATAGCGTTGGATGATTAGAGCGAGAGAGAGAGAGAAAGAAGCATATAGGAGAGGGAAAGAGAGAAATGAAAGTGAGAAAGAGGGGAGGTGTAAGAGAGAGAGAATGAGACCGATGAATATATATATATATATATATATATATATATATATATATATATATATATATATATATATCGAATACGAGTAATACAGAAAAGTAAAAGTAAAAGTATGCAATACACACATTAATATATGTACTCATCTCATCAAAGGTCAGACACAAACAAAATAAATGTCCTTTAATTCACACTATACACATGTTAGCACACCTAGACAAAAAATAAGCCCCATATATATATATATATATATATATATATATATATATATATATATATATATATATATATATATATATAATATATAAATGTGTCCGAATTGCATATAGTCGGCATACACTGGACTCAATACAAAAGGGCTAAGGTAGTAAGGCATGAACTAATCCACTTCCTGTTGTAAATCCTAAACCGGAAACGCCGGCATTAATGCATCAGTTGAGTGATTGAAGACTCTCTCGATACAAATACGCCGCCATTGAACTGGGCTGCCAAATCAATAACAGAAATGCCGCTCCTGGCATCAGTTAGTGTCCGCTCGTTTACTTCTCGGACGGAAAGGAGCGAGAAAGAGAGCGAGAATTAACGAGATTTGGTCCTTGGCCAAGAGACGCCTTCCTGGACGAATACCTGAACGCTTGAATTAGTTGAATGGCTAAAAATTGGTCTGCTCCCAATATTTCTCTGGCCCATGATTGAAACTTGCTGCATCATTCTCTTAAAAGAAAGTGGAGTTGGGGTGGGTGAAATGCTAGTTTTATCGCTTGTTAAGGACTAGTTCTAATCGATTGCTTAGGGATTTTTTTGCCAAGGACCTCTGTTCAATGAGGCATGTTTTAACCGCCATGTTTGGAAGACTTTATGTCATTAGTTCTAGGCAATTGTTTATTGGGTTTTATATAGAAAAAATAAGCTCATTACACTAAAGTGGCAAGCTTATTTAGTAATCATCATTTCTTTACTATATTAATATTACTAATAGTCGTACTAGTAATAGCTATACCAATAATATACCCAATATTGAAATAAAACTTGCATAATTTTATTTCATTTTGTAAATGGATTTATGCGACGTGGTTGTAAGAAGAGAAACTCAGTTCTAAATCCTACAGTGACATTATTACATTTATTGGAAAATAACTGGCTCGAGGCTAATTTACTGTGTATGCGTTGTGCTGGGTTTAGCTTCAAACAAGACAAAATCATTAACTTAATAACTCGAGTCATTATCTTACAGATAAGGACTTTCATATGGATATCATGAATGTCGCCAAACTCATTCCGAGATAACAAAACAGTTCTATACAACTGCTTTCTGAGATCAATGATTAAAAATGGTATCGAGCAAGTTAAGGGTCTAGGTCTTAGCGAAGCCGTTTTTTTTTTCTAATCGTGTGGACTGGCGCTATAAGAACACGAAGAGGTATATCAGATGACAGAAACCGCATCACTTGAGGAATTTCAACAGCAACAACAAATAAAATGCATAGGAATTGTAACACGAAGAGAAAATAATAACTAAAGCATCTCACCTGACAGGGCCTTGTGTCAGATACGCAAATTGGCTTTCGCTTCTCATGGTCAACTGAATGTATAGAATATTGCTGCTACCTATGGTCTGGTGCTCCTGCTATATAATTAGAGATTCTTGATAAAATCCGAAAGAAGAATCTGCAATATTATTGGTTCTGACCTGGCATCTCCGCTTCAGCCATTTTCCCACCGTCATAATGTAGCTTCCTTGCCTCTTTTTCTATGATATCTAGACTCTAGGAATTTAAGCACAAGATTGGCGTCAAGATCTCATCATTTTACAGGTGAAATGGCGAGATTTTCCAAGCAGTAGACCTAGAAATTCGTTCAGTATAATCAATCCACGCCATGACAGTAGAAAGTCAAAGGCGCAAAGTGTTGTTCTTCTGGAGTTTAACATCTATTAGGTTGGTGCAAAAATAATGCCGTAATAATGTCGTTTTTTGACGTATTTTTAACGTCAAAAAACGGCATTATTACGTCATTATTTTTGCACCAACCTAATACCACTCTGAATCCCGACAGAAAAGTTTCTTCAGAATTATTATTATTATTATTATTATTATTATTATTATTATTATGAATATTTTCGGCTCTGATCATATCAATAATAGTTTGGGGCGTAGTTGTGGTTTTTTAATGTGGTTTAGATTGGATAAATTGTTTTGGATAATGGATGTTTCGGTGTTGGTAGGTAGTATTATGTATCTGTCTTTATCTAGTTTATTGTTGTCAATAACGTTGTTCTCTTTTTTGTGATCTTATATTTTGTATGACTTTCTCTTTGCATTGGGGTTGAAATAATAAGGATGTAAGAGTTTTTTGAAAGTGTTTTCTATGTATATTTCTTCTTTGAGTAAGTATTAGGGGCTGCAAATTCTTTAATAAATGACTATAATTACTCCTGATTTGATCTTGTTACAGTAGTGGGAGTAAAAATTGACCAAGTCATTGTTATTGGTAGTTTTTCTGTAAACCACAAACAAAAGTTCGTTATTATTTCTGTGCAATGTGATATCTAGGAAAGGCAAAGTGGTTTTAGACTTAGATTCAGAAATAAAATCTATTGAGGGTTCTACGTTATTTAGTTTATTGACAAGATGATGTAAAATTATGTCTTCTGGGTATATTAGTAGAGAATCATCTATGTATCTAAAGTAAAAAGAATCTTGTGGTAATATATATATATATATATATATATATATATATATGCTTGGAAATTGGATCTGAGGAACCAGGAAAAATCACTTTCCTGGGGAAATAAAATATAATCACTGGACCCTTAAGGCTGTCTGTTTTTTTATTTAAATTAAATTTATATACATATGATATAAAAATAAATTGTATAAACAGAAAATATATTAAATAATAGTCGGACTTAATCAATTTCATAATATATATATATATATATATATATATATATATATATATATATATATATACATTTTCATTGAATACGACAGACAAGGTGCTTTTATTCATGAAGGAGTATAAAAAACTAAATAAAAGCATCTTGTCTGTCGTGTTCAATGAAATGTGCATGAAAAAAAGGATTGTTGCCTAAATACACAAATATATATATATATATATGTGTGTGTGTGTGTGTGTGTGTGTGTGTGTGTGTGTGTGTGTGTGTGTGTGTGTGTGTGTGTGTGTGTGTGTAAAATATATAGAAAATAGGAAAGAACTCGTTGGGTATATATTCCAAAGTTATTTAGTATTTCTGTTATTATTTTTAAAAAATGGTGCTAGATACAAAAGTAGAGCATAAATATAATTATTCATTTAAAAATATGATTTCAACGCTACATAAGAGTTCTCATGTTTCAAAAGAAGAGCAGAAAATTTCAATATAAGTATTTTAATTAAATTGAATTAAAGTACTAAACTCTGTTCCATCTTCAAGCGAAATTTCTTTTGGAATAACTTATTCCTGAAATTTACGTGTTTTATAAGCATATTCATTATTGAAATAAAGATTAGTATGGTAACGGCTAGAGCAATTGTTTAAAGAAAAGGGCATATATATATATATATATATATATATATATATATATATATATATATATAAATTTTCATAAGAACAATTTTAGGGAAGGAAGTATGACAAAGTGAAAAAAATTTTGTTGATGCATTTCGTCCTTTTAGGCTAAGTTTGTTTTCATTGATCCGACTACACATGCGCAAGAACAAGACACACGGGGAATTTTAAATTTAAAAATATTTTTTAGTTTGGACTTTGGCTATATAATCTAACCGATTTCATTTGCATTCTTTTTGTTTATCTTTCCATCACATTTGTTAACAAATATGTCACATTGTGATAATAGATCTGCCTAAAATGGTGACACGTTGTAAGATTCTGGAAGTAAATTTACTACAGATGATATAGCGATTTACCCTTTGAGCTCTGACCACCGCTTTACCAGTGGTAGAGAAAAATGACGTAAAACCCAGCCACCAGTTGAATAGTTGTAGAAAAGAGTGACTTAATGCCCAGCCACCGGTTGAACGGTGGCTAAACACTTGTAACTACTGTTAATCATTACATACCAATTAGTTGCGAAGTTTAACTCAGGAGTTGAGGAAAAAGGGTTAAAATTGTTCAGAAATGCAGGGCTTAAAGGGTAAAGGCACTTTCTAAACATTTTTGTTTTAGTAAAGTCTTTTCTCTTTTCATTAGAGTAGCATTTTTTCAATCAATATTCTGGTCAATCTCGTGAGCGACTAACGCATTTAATCTGTTGCTTCGTAAAAGATCCCTTTCATGTTTATGCAATCTTTCTTTAATATCCTTGACGTTTCTCCGATGTATTCTTTGTGGCAATTATTACAGTTAATAGTGTAAATTCCTCCTTCAGGTTTTAGCTTATTATTTTGTTTTATTTATTATACTGTTTATTATTGTCTCTTTTTCGTTAATGCGCATGTGCGTCACATCAACGTAAACATAAATGTATTCCAATGAAGTCCCAAAGCACAAAACGCGTCAGACGAAACTTTTCCCCAATTTGTCATACTTTCCCTAATATATATATAAATATTCATTCAAACCTATTTGAATATATATATATATATATATATATATATATATATATATATATATATATATATATATATATTCAAAAAGATTGAAAGTACTTTGGAAAATAAAAACTATCCGAAAGAAAAGATCATATATATATATATATATATATATATATATATATATATATATATATATATATATATATATATATTTAAATAATTTAGACATATGTCGATTAGTTTTCGTTGTGATCTTTTCAACTTAATTAATTTTCTAGTAGATTTAGAATATTGAGTAATAAAAATACCAAAATTTTCTTTCCGATAGTTTTTATTTTCCAAAATACTTTCAATCTCATCTGAGATCATCTTTAGGGGTTACGTTGTCTGTGAGTATGTATATGCGTTTCTGTGAATTTAAAAAATTTCAGCTGTTCGTTTTTTTTTTAATGCTTATGCTATCATTTTACTGCTAATCAATTCTAAATTGGTTAAGCATCTCACCAAGCAGGGTTTTCAATTAGACAAGGAAAATGCCTTTTGATTCTATAGATCAACTGCTGAGGTGTTAAC